TGATCCTTTGACTAAACCTCTGCCTCAAGTGAAACACAATAAGCATATTGAGGCAAGGGAATCAAGCACGTCGGAGACTGGCTTTGGAATTCCCTGTACATGTGTTTTAATTAAACTAGATGTTTTAATGTAAGACACTGTATTGAAACCATTCATTTATGGAGTAATTAATTTTTATGCAAAAATTACCATTCACTCTATTGCTATTTAAATGTGGTTTAGAATTAAATAATGAGTCCATTCGATTTATGGAAATATTCAAAACAGGGTATCAAGACCATGTCTTGGATAAAGAAACACTTGTTAAGTGAACATTGAATATTTAAATAAAAAATTGTCCCTAATCGAGGTCATCTAATTGATGGACGATTGATGACCACCAGAGATTAGTGTGTAATATGATTTATAGCACCGTTTCTTGTGTTGCAAGGACATAATGGTCATAAATCATTTGCACAGGTGCCAGTTCGGAACTGCACTGGAAAGACCTATGAGAGTACTTTAAGAGATTTAAAATTGTCATAAGTACATTTCTCATTATAGCTATCAGAACCTGTTTCCTCAACCATGAGTGTTGTGAAGTTTTTTTGTTTGAGTACTAGTCTCCTTGATGTTGCCTAACGTCTGCCGTAACTGGGGATCATAACGGGAACACTCGGGAGATTAGGTCTTCTTAGTAAGAGAAACTTACAATGCGAGACTGGGAATGTCCCCTTATTAACAATAGGGAACATGTCTTTGTTGTTTACAAGGCCGCTCGAAGAGCGAGACTGTGAAAATCCATGGCCGTGCTCAGATGGATTTTAGAAATCATCTGCTTATTGAAAGTCGAAATCTGAGATCGAGAAACACTTCTGAACGAAATATGGATGACGATGAATCTTACCTTATAGTTCACGAAGAGACATTAAGCGACATAGGAAATGAGTTATACACTGTATACACACTCGAAGGACAAGTGGGAGATTGAAAGGAATAGTGTCCTTCCAACAAGTGTATTATTCTGATAGAGGGTTTAAAATTATTACAGAGCTAATTCTTCAATAAGGTCAAGTGATCGGAATGCCTAGGTGGAGGCCGCTCCGATCAGTAATATTAAGGTATAATTAATATTACAGCTTAATCTTAACTGAACCCTTCGGGTCGAACCCAATCGAACAACCGATCCGAGATGACGAATCATTCCAAAGGATATAATGAGTCATCGGAGTTTTACAAACACAGACGTCGGATATCAAGCCTAGGGTGTCGAGACCAAGCGTCGCAAAATCACAAGCAACAAGTACGAGCATAGCCGTAGCATCACATTGGCCTAGCCATGTGAAGTGCTAGGCTAGACTAGCTCATCGCAAGCCTAGGCGCACCATGTGTGTGCTAGGCGCGCCCTAGGTGCTGTCGCACCATCGCAGCACAAGCACAACACTATCGCATGGCTAGGCCTATGCGTGTGTGCGTGTGCATGTGCCTAGGGCTGTCGCACCATTGCAGCACAAGCACAACAGTATCGCATGGCTAGGCCTATGCGTGTGTGCGTGTGCATGTGCCTAGGGTTGTCGCACCATCGCAGCACACAACATAGCACCATCGCAGCGCTTGGCACTTGCATGTGTGTGTGTGTGTGCCTAGCACTATCGCCAAGCATCAAGCCATCCAACATGAGTGGCTTGCTAGCAGCACGCATGCTGGGCCTTGCGTGCATGTGCGCTATGGCTTGGCTAGCGTGTGCGTGTGCGATGGCTGGGCAGCAGCGCCTAGCTAGTAGCACACAGCGCCTAGCAAGCAGCAGCAGCGTAGACACTACCCAGCACAGCCACATGCATCAAGCTTGTGCTGGCTGGGCTGGTGCTAGCTGGCTGGGCATGCTGGCAGTGCTAGCTGGCTGCCAACCCAGAAGCCCACATGAGGCCGGTTTTGTGAGGGGTGGGGACCAACCCTTGGGCAAAGCCTTAGGAAGCAAGGCAATGGTCCCCCCTTATTCTTGGTCCTCACCTAACTCTCTCTCTCCCCTTGACACTTGTTGCATTGTGATTGAGTTGATTATTTATTTAATTTAGAATTAAATAAATTGTCATATTTACCAACTCTCCCACATTGGTGGGAGATTGGAAATCAAGGGTTCATTTCCTTATAAATACCAAGGCTTGGGTATTTGGGAAAGAACACACTTGAGTGGAATTGTAAAGGAAACTCCATTGTTAAGTATACCTTGAATTCGTAAAACTCCAAGTTTATATTTTGTCCGGGACTTGACTAACCTTCGAGGCTTAGGACGATCGGGTCGGGTTCGAGGGTACGATCCCGTTGGAGGCCTTGCATTATTGAGTTTGAAGTAAGAGCTCGTTGTAAGAGCGAAGCACGCTTCGAGGGTATATTTCTTATCCTTACTCTTAATTGTGTTTTAATTATGTTTTTCTTGTATTAGTTGCATTAATTATGGGGGCGGGTCTTGGGGGGTTTCATTCCGCGTAGTGAGGGTCACTACGAAACCCTACAAGGTCTTGGCAACATGACTAATGTAAAAGTTTCATTGCAATCATAGTCATACTATGAGTTAGTTAAATCCTTTAGTAACTAGTCGTTGCTTAATTAGAAAACACTTTTCTTCTTTGTCCATTTTGATTACAATGGGTCTTACCAAATTTGGCAAATTAATCAAGTGTCAAACACTTGCTTACAGACTTAGAATCTATTTCACATTTCCATGGTTTTTAAACCACTTGGAGTTATACCTTTTCAAATTTATTACTTGCATAATCATTATGTTCCAAAATGAATATTTAGAACTTTTAGTAAATATGAAATCATATTTCTTTAGCTAAGTTTTAGATATGCTAGTCATCATTGTGGGTCTTTATGCAATAATTAAAACTTATACAACAACTTTATTTAATTTTCAATGAGAAACGACAATAGAGGGTGTGCACTTGGATTGTACTTCCTTCGACACATGGTTATTATTCCCGTTACACTTAATGAGACTACGCGTTGTCATTTATGACATGAGGTAAAGCATGCTCATACTATTGCTTTTATTCGAGTACTTCTTGAATTTCTTCAAGATTTTTGAATTAACTTTTCTCGAACTCCTTCGAGGCTCTCGAACTTTGTCGAGATTCATATACTCCCACTTCCCTTTTGAAGAGGCACATTGGCATGGGGTTAACCAACCATGGTTTGAACCATGTTTGTTTGTTGCTTTTCCCGAACTCTTTCGAGATTTATACTACTCCCACTTGACTTTTTGAAAATGACATCTTTTCCAGAAGGGCATCTACTTGAGCAACAAACATTTTGTGCTAAGTATTATTTGCATAGTAGTACCCTGTGCTCTGTATAGGAATCGGACGTGTTTTAAACGATTTAATACAACTTTTATTCCTTGCTTTGTAGAAAGTCTTTATAAGAACTTTTCTTATCCATATCACATATGAAGCTTTTGCTACATTTTGATTTGACATATGTAGTTTTGTTTAGTTTTGTAGCTCATCTTACAAGTATATCCCTTGAATAATGGTTGAAAGATAGAGTATTTTCATCTATTATCAAAATATATCTCATATAGACTGATAGCTTATTTCATTAACACTTCATAAGGTTTCCTTTCGGAGTTTGTTATAAAACAATTTCACAACTCTTGGATGTTTATCAAGGTCTTGGCTTAAATTCTCATTATTAATCATATCGCAATACTTTGAATATCTTGCCAAGTAAATGTCTTTACTCAAACTTTCTCCATTACAATCATATTGTAATGTATTTATTATTTTGTCAAGTTGATTATGAATTTCATACCGGACCTTTTGAACTTTTCAAAAACTTTCACTATTATGCTTCAACTAAGCACAAGTGATTGTATCACAAATAAAGTTTCATTCTCCGTCTCTAGCCTTTGAACCTTATGTTTTCTTACATCGATATGTATTCGACCTCGAGTTCATGTCGTCATTTCTCTAAACGATGATTTTGTCAATCGTCAAATTAGAATGATATCAATAGATTCAAAATCTAATGATATTAAAAGTCCATCCCTTTGGATTCGCCATATGCAATGTTCATTTTTCATATGAATCAATGACATTTTAGAGACAATTATATATATATATATAGAACTGGTTTATCTATAAATCTGCCATATAGAACTTTTGACTTATTTAGCAATTCAAAAACATACTTTGATTCAAGTAAGCATGAAATAACATTTACTCCATGTTTTGAACCTTCAATGCTTAGTCATTACTAACATTGATTGGTATTTTGATAATGGCAAGAATAAATAACATTTATTTAACTCTAGCTAATTACTAAGTAAGGTGAAATATAAGTTCTACTTGTAAAGTTGCAACTTTTTGCTTCTAGACTTGTAGATTCTACTTGTGAAGTAGCAACAATTGCTTCTAAGCTTGTAGATTTACTTCTCCCTTAGCCAAACTTCGTCTTTTAATTCAACCACATTCTTCAATGAGTGAACTAAACGTGGCATCATATGTCCAAGAAGTAATAATATACTAAATTAATTTCTATAATATACTTCTTAAATTGGAACATTCCCATTCTTTTACCTTCCAACTGTATGAGGTAGTTTCTAATCAATTGGAATTGGTCCATTTAATTTGAAACATTTATTGTTTCTATTTCTAAAAATCTCTTCTAATTTTATTAGGTCAGACAATTTTGTTTCTTGCAAGTGTTTCTCTAGAAATAATTTCTGGAAAACTATTTCTAGAAAACAGAAGTTGTTTTCCAAAAGCTTGGCCAAACATACCCTAGGATGCTAAGGCATTTCGTTACTCTTAGATCTATTCTCGTTTAGTTAACAATGGTTACAAGTCTTAATGAAACCCCAACTCCCTAAGAGTCTTTTACATTTTTTATTTTTCAATAAAGTATTAACTCACTATTTTTCTTATATAATTTTTTAATACTCCAACTACCCATTACTTTTAATTTATTTATAAAATTAAGTTATATAAAATTATATATTAGTCAAAGTGTAACACTTTATAAAACACAAACGGAATACACGACTAACCTGATCTGAAATTCAGCCACAACAATCCACATGACAGCATATGACATAATGCAATGTTCCTAGTAAAAAAAAAAACATTAATCTGATCCTCCTTAGCAAAAACAGACTAGATAAGCTTAGAGAGAGAATGGGAACCCAACAGTTACAACTGCCACTGGCATCATCATCATCTTCAACTTGTTCAACCATACTTTCTTCAATTTTATCTCACCACTACAATTGCCGTAGCACCACCACCTCACTCCTATTCAACCGCAGCACCACCACCAACACCATTCTCTCTCTTTCCCTCAACCATGTCAACCACCGTCGTTCAATTCAACACGGCCGTGTTGGTATGGATGACTCGGGTATTCCGGCTACCACTACCGCTTTCGAGGATGAGGAAGACGATGTACAACCCGAACCTACTCCTGAGGATCTCGAATACATTAGCCAAATTAAAAAAGTAATTCTATCTTCTTTGTTTGGTTTTATTGGATTATGAATTTTGATTTTATTTGATGATTTTTCGTTAGGTTTTGGAGCTTCTGAGGAAAAACAAGGACATGCTTTTTGGAGAGGTACATAATTAATAATTTTGCTTAACTTCTTGCACTACTCTTGGAATTTCTATGTTTTTTATTCAATTATTTGTAAATAGAAGATTAACCCGCATTTTTAATGCATAATATCTTGTATTTTTAGTAAAATTAAGTTGATTGATCATATAGGAACTAAGAAGAATATGGAATTTGGGGGAATAAAAAAAAGTTGGTGCTCCATGAAGGCTTTATTTGATTTGGAGTAAACATGTTCGATGGATATGGTTTTACATGGATTTAAAAAACGATAGTTTTCTTTGTTTGATTCCTTACTAGAAAAGTTACTCCGTATAAAGAAAGTAAAATTCAAAGTGGAAGGGAGAGGACAGACGGGAGGAGAGGAAAAAGGAAGGTAAAGAGCAGGGAGTAAAATATGGCTTTATTGGGTTAGTGAGGCTTAAAATTTGTTAAGCCCAATTTATTTGGTCTTTAGGCTACTAGTTAATCTTGCATGTTGATTTATTGGATGCAAATTGTGGAAGCTATTAGAAAATGATAACTATGCACAAATTGTTCTAACACAATTCCCCTGGTCTTCCACTTTTGTGTTATGGGGGAGTTTGTAAATTGGGCTGTTGTTGCAGCCTAGTGGATTCGTCAAGGATAGAGAAATAAACTGGGGTTTTAAGTCTCAGATTTGATTTTCAATATGGCTAAATAAGGCTGATGAAGGGGTGGTTATAGTCTGAAATGCCGGAGTTTGTATAGGGCGATGAATTTGAAGTGATGGACCTTAAACCTTTTTCTTTAAAAGCCAAATATCAGATCTTATACTTGAAAAGATACATTTTTGAAGCAAATGAATTATGTATAAAGAGTAAACATAATCAACAAGAACAGAAGGTGAGTTGAATGAAGTAAAACATTGTGTAAGAGATGGGAGAGGAGAAAATAATAAAATGTAGGAGTAGGGACCATGTGAAAAGAGAGATATAATACGTAGTATAAAACAAGAGATGTCCCAAAAAGGAAATGGGGCACTTTATAAAAACGGCTGACTTAGGAAACTGAAGCATTTAAAAAAAAAAAAACAACCAAAAGGAGTATCAGCTTTATTGGGGACTTGGGGGGGGGGGGTAGGGGTGGGGGGTAATTGGATTACCATGAGAGAATATAGCTGATTGCTCTAAGTTTAGTGATGGGGACTGAGTGTCAATGTGAGTGTTAATTCCTAAAACATAAGAAATCATTCAGGACTTTGCATGGAAATTTACGAAATTCAAGGGTTCCATATTACTTGACTGGCTATAACAAATTATGAACTGCAGTAATAGTTATAGACTTTGGTGATGCATCTTGTGGTTGATGCCAACCACAGAGGTCCCTAAGGAATTAGTGGTACGCAAGAAGTGTACACTCAAAATGGGACAATTTCAATAGGTGTATAAATTATTTTTCTAACATTGGCTTTTGGCCCAACCCCAAAGCTTTCAGCGTTAGTTGGGAATTCTTTGGTGCTGAGGTAGTGGTTTGTCCCCAAAATACATCAGCTTGTTTAATTTTGTTTTGGGTCATTTTGATAGGACAAGAGATCTCCTTGTATAATCCTGGCACTTCATGTTGAACATCATGATTATTATCATTCTTTTAAAGCAACACTTAAAGTTGAAGTACTTTTCAAGTTCTCACTATTAGACTCTATTTATGAAGAAAATCTCAGGTATTTGTCCAGTGTCTACACTCCTAATTTTAAACTAGAGGCCAGCTTTGTTTACATCCTGTCCCTAATTCAATTACGCATTTCACCGAAATATCTTGTCCGTAAATAAAAGTGTCATTTCACCTTTATTTAATTTTCTAATCACTTTAAATCAACTGAAACACTATTTGGTTTTTATATTCATCTTTTCCCCACTACTTTTTTTATTTTTTTTTCTTTTATTAACTTACCTAAAAAAATATGTGCAAAAGGTGAATGAGATTTTAATTTGAGCGGAATGAGTACTTGATCAGTGATATCATGTTGATGTCAATTCTTGCCTTTTGTGATTATCTAGTCATTGCTTTTAGTTAAACACAAATTTGATGTGCCTTTTTCATTTGATTTTGTCGAGTTTTGTCCTAGAAGATGTTGGTTAAGCGTAAGTCTTTCTTTTCATTCTTCGGTAGAGAACATCTATTTTTTTTTTTTTTTTTGTTTTAGATGAATGGCTACCCTAGTTTGGATGCGCTTATTGCACCCTTTTAAACGTTCTTTCTAACTAAAATAATGTTTCACTTTTACCATACAATACGTTATATAGACAGAAATGTCTTTAATCTCAATAGAATATTATGTGTGGATTGATTTTTTTTTTTTTCTCAATCTTTTTGGCTAAGTTAAAACATCTTTCCCATTATAATGATTTATTGACCTTGCACTTTAAATAAGGATGTGCAACCATCTATCGAAGTAATTATAATCATCAATGTATAGTTTAACTATATTATGTTGGTTTACTATTTTAAAATTTTGGTCCAAATCTGACTTACAATAAATTAGCTTTTAATATATATATGCTCTTCCTAAAATGTCTCTTGAAATATTCCTCAATAACAGCAACTTCTCATGTTATAATGTATGAAGTAATTATAATCATCAATGTATAGTTTTAACCATATTTATATTGGTTTACATTTTTAACAATTTGGTCCAAATGTTCTCAACTGGTCAGTTTGTTAGGTGCAAAATGATTTTTTATAATAAGTATAATTTTTACTAGAACTATATACGATGACAACATTTTTATTGTTGAATAATTTGTAGCTGGTCAATAATGAATGGTACATTAGGAGCTAACCACATATCTCTGACCGGAGACTTCTAATCAATGAGCTAGAATTTAAGTACATGTCATAAATCTATGAGGTACATGTCCTATAGCTATTAGGTACATATTGTAAAGTTATAATGGTTTTATTCATAACACAAATCTTTGATACTGGGTTTGCACATGTTACATTGTACTCTCTCCCAGCCCCTATGATTATAATTAATCATCTGTTACCTGGTCCCTTTTTATTTGAGGGTAAGTTGTGATAATAATTCCCTTATTTTTGTTTCTTCCAGAAGTTGCTATGGAGATTTGATTGTGCTCCCTTTTATGATTCCCTCAATTTAACTTGTAAGTTGTAACCTGGAGGCTTTAAAACACTCTGCATATGTTATGAAGAGCTTAGATTTTTGTTACATTAATATTTTCTTGGGAAGAGGATAGGTAAAAGAGAAGGGGATAATGATTGCAGAAGAGTTGACTTAATCAATCGAAGGCAAGTCCTATTGTCATCAGTTGGATCCATAGCTGGCTTTTTGAACGCTGCTTCCTTCTTATCAGCGCCTCCTTCCATAGCTGCTTCTTCAGGGTCTGGATTTGCTGACAGTTAAGTTTCTATGAAACTTGACAAACTTCTCTGATTTTGTTAGTATATTTTAGTTGAAAATTTTAAGGTACAGCCGCCTGCACCTTGCTTGGTACAGACGAAAAATACGAAAAGAACATGTAGCTGTTTGGTAAAGAACATACAGTTGTTTTGTAAAAAACATATAGCTGTTTTGTAAATAACATCCAATCTTATGTTTTTATTTTTATTTTTTTTTAGTTTTAAATCTAAAGAACATCTGTAATATTATTAAAGAACATGATAATATTATGTAATGTACATTATTTATACATACCCACCGTAATTTAATGACAAAATTCAAGAAACATTACACAATAAGCAATGAACATTATATCACAAATAAAAGAGTACATTACACGGACAATCAAAGAATATGGACATATGTTCTTTTCATTCTTTTTTGGTGCAAATATGTTCTTTTTAATTTAGGTATATTTTCATTACATTTTAATAGTATGTTCTTTTCACTAAAGTATGTTCTTTATATTTTTATAACGAAACGTCTGTATGATAGGTACAGACACCTGTAGGAATCACACACTGTATTTTAGTAGTAACAACCTAAATTAGAGGAGTCGTTTATAGTAAGGGTTTACTTGGTACTTTAATATGTATTTCCTCCTTTTCTTATTAATTGACACATGATACACTTCATCTAGGCACACATATTAAGGAGGCGTGAGATTTAAAGATGAAATACAAAAATACCCTTTATATAACCCACCCCTACACACTAACCTCCTAGGCTCCTACTCTTCTCCATGTCAGAAAAACCACGCTAACCAACTTCCTTAGGACCACCACTGCTAACACTATCGCCAACGTAACCACTATTGCAACCTCTGCCACCACTGAAAAACTCAACACCACTGGTTATGACACCACCACCTACTCCACTAGTACAAAAGTATCACCGTCACTCCATAAACACCTTAAAACTGATGGTAAAAATTAATCAAAATAAACACCAACTCAAAGAACACTACCTAAAATATAAAGAATAATACAAGATCTAAACACACATAGAAAAAACAAAAATAAAAAAGGTGATGGATTCATCCCATTACCACACAGTATTATCTCATCTTTCTCTCATCCCCATCCCAATCCTCATCACCTTTGTACCTATTTATATAGGGAAAAAAAGGAGACAGAAAATTCCTACTATCTATCGTCAAACACAAACATATTTTGCTACTTATAGAACGATGGGCTCTCTACCTCTTGAACTAGCTTTTAGGGATGACTCTCCTATTGTCACGTTTCAATGGTATTTGAGCCGACCACTGCTCCTTTAGTCCACATGTGACAGATGGAGGTGACGTCGGTGCTTGCTGGGGCTAGGAACCTTTCTCTATCTCCTGTTCTCCCTCTTTCTATCTAGCGCAAAGTCTGCCACATGAGGCCATGTAGCCTGCGACGAGGGGGGTATGTTATGGTCCATTGCAAGTTATGGGACTTGAGTCCCACATTGGTCACATGGGGTGCTGATATGGGGGTTATATAGGACAATGGGCTCTCCTCCTAGCTGAACTAACTTTTGGAGATGACTCTCCTATTGTCCTTTATCGTAGTGAATCAAATAATGCAGAGGGAGTATTGTGGGCTAAGATAGGGTAAAACAGGGAATGAAATCTATGAAACTAACCTATAAAATAGAAACATGTAAAAAAAAAAAAAAAAAAAAAAACACTCCAAAAGAGATGCATGTCAACTAATTATGGAATGGAGGAAGTAACTCGGGGGATTGATAACATTCTCCTGTTTTTTAAATTTAAAATAAAGGGAGGGGGGGCTCATAAACTACTTGTGTTGATTTATTAATGTAAACAATCAGAAGACCAAACATAACAAATTATCGAATGGAAATAGCCTCTTTGTTCTATACTTGTAGGATAAACCTTCCCCATCTCTTCAAAGGAGTGAGACTCTAAAAGTCTAAAGAGGTAGTGAACTTGGGGGCCACTTATTTTGATCTCTCTAGGTGTCACAGTGGTTGTCTTTATCTGTTTCAATTTCAGTGCCTGCGCTCAGGGGAAAAGATTATGGAAAGACCAAGATGCGTTATCCTGACTATATTGAAACTGAAAGTGGCCTCCAGTTTAAGGTTACGTTATTATGTCCATCTTCATACATTAAGATGTGCCCACGGGTTCATGATCATTTCTTGTTTTCATTTTGTCTTTACCTTTTTATGTTTTGCAATCCAGGACTTGAGAAAAGGAACTGGTCCAACCCCTAAGATTGGGGAGAGTGTGGTGGTGGGTCATCCATATCCTACATGAACTTGCTCAATTCGCTTCAGTTTTTCATGTATATTGATTTATTTGATACATATATTTCTAGCCCTTAATTGGTTTTGGTGTTCATTATACCATGTATAGGGTTATTGAGTATGTTGTGAGAGCTTTGTCAATCAAGTTGAAGGAATAATTTTGTTCACTCAATTAATTTCTATTTGTTTTTGTTGTATGAGAATCTTTATAACATTTCAATTCTGAAAGTATTCAGGTAGATTGGGATGGGTACACAATAGGATACTATGGACGTATATTTGAAGCTCGTAATAAGACAAAGGGTGGGTCCTTTGAGGTATTACTCTGATAATAATATGCCTTTATCCTCTATACTTGTTATCTTGTTGGTGCGACTAAAAGTAGTTTGTGACTCTTTGGTCTTTTGATATGTAGGGCGATGACAAGGAATTCTTCAAATTCAAAATAGGATCCCAAGAGGTATGTGACTATTTCCTTATTTCAAACAGTGATGTATGGAAGGAAGCACACATATCATATGTTCATTCCATTTCCTCTTGACTGCATTTAATATATATATTTATTTTTAAATAACTTCGTTGCATAACTCCAAACAGCGAAAGTCTTCTGTCTTTATTATACACACACACACACACACTCAATCTCTCTCTCTCTCTCTCTCTCTCTCTTCCCCCCCCCCCTCCACCCCCACCTCCCGTCCGACCCTATTTGTTTGCCCCATGTACATTTTGGGCCGTTTAAATATTATGGGCCGTTCTTTAAATATGCCCATCCACTTGCAAAATTTTGGTCCAAGACTAACAATCTTTGCCTAAGGGGCAAACAATTGAAACAGATATACTCAGAATCAGCATCTCCATTAGTTTAGGCTAGAAGGAGTATATGCTGAGCTTTAGGCTTCTCTAACTGGTGTAAAATTGGGTTATAGACTTGCTATAGACTAGGAAAATCAGATGCAGCGTTTAAGACACAAGAACATATATTAAGGTGAAAGCTTGCGGTTAAGTGATATTTAAAAGTAACAGATACAAGAAATATAGCTTGAGGCTATAACTCTCCAAAAGGGCAGCTTGAGGCTGCTTCTCTCTCTACTAGACTAATCTCACAAATCACGTAAGAGACTACTATTCCATTGCGACTACATTATATACCAAGCATTCAGCGATACAAAAAGTACCCTAATTATAAAGAGATTTGTCTTGTAATGCCATTGTGACCTTTAAAAACAGAACACCAGTTACCACTCCTCCAAGTTCTTCATTAATAGCCCTCTTCCTCTTTGTGCTGCTACTGATCATGAACCTTTTGGGTTGCTGTTCTTTCTTCTCTCATAGACTCGAATTGGTTGTGAGGGTGGTTCGACCCGGTTCATTGTTGTTGTAATGTGTTAAGTTGTGTTAGATGGATGTTTTTGTCTTAGCCTAATTAACTAACAAATATTACACATAAGAGTGATGGACATAAAATGGATGACTAAAATATATTTAAATTTGAATATAGAGGCTTAATCTTCTTTTACTGTCATTTCGTGGTGATCATGATTAGATTGGAAGGTGTTTGACGAAGCTGATGCCTGACCTGAACATGCAGGTTATCCCAGCATTCGAGGAAGCTGTCTTAGGCATGTCATTGGGTGGAATTAGGAGGTATTCAGTTTCTGGCAAAGGATAATCTTTCCGGTATCACAAAATTTGAACTCCTACTAACATCCTTATTTGCAAAAAAGAGAACTATTGTGATACGGAAAGAGTACCTAAGCTATCTTTTGTTGCTAAGGAGAAATTCGGTCGAACATTTATATTTGTAATTTTAACAACTAATGTAGACTAATATAGCCATTTGCTGCTCATTGGATTTCTCTATATTGCAATACTTTCAAGAGTGGAATTTTGTAAGTTGACAAAGGGCGGTTGGATTTCTCGGATGGTGCAGGGTTATAGTGCCTCCAGAACTGGGATACCCTGACAACGACTACACTAAGAAGGGACCTAAGCCAACAACGTTCTCGGTATGTAGGATATGTCAACGATTTCATTGCGTTGTTCATTCTAATGTCTGTGTTACTGACAAAGTTATATCCACAGGGGCAAAGGGCATTGGATTTTGTGCTGAGGAACCAGGGACTTATAGACAAGACTCTATTGTTTGATATTGAGCTCCTCAAAATCGTATCAAATTGAAAGTTGCTGCTCTCGCTGGTTGTTGAACACTATTTAGTTTTTATTGGTACAATGTTGTTTGAAATTATATTATTCTGAGACTTTCAGTGTTACTTGAATTAATCTACCTCTTCTCGCAGCCAGAGGTTTGCCCCTTGTAGTTTTGAGGTACCGAAATATGGAATGGCAAAGGAGTGTGGTTCCTGCTGATGTCGCCTGCAGGCTAATGCTTATGATGTTTCCTTCTATATTGATATTGTTTTTCATTCATTTTTTTTTTAATTTTTAATTTTTTTTTTTTTTTTTTTGTTTTATCCTCTTTTGCATTGATAGGCATTTGTAATTTCTCAGTATTTTTCCATAGAAGAAACTAAATGCAATTCTACTATTTCAATTGTGTTGCTTTATAATCAAAATGATAAGAACAAATTATTCAACTTTGAATGACATCTTCCGTTCCATCAGTGCACATTCTAGCTTACAAAATTTATTTTAGCATTCGTTGTAGAATTTTTTATACTATTTTCAATAAACATTAAAAATACTTTGTACTAAGAAACTTTCTTTATGAGGGAAGTTCATAATGAAAAAGTTATATTAGGAAATATCTCCTTATGCTAAAAATTGTCCAAAGAGACAACTCTTGGTTAGGACATGATAAAAGACGAAAAATAAAGAGAGACATGATATGATGACATGGAAAACTCCGTTGAAGATAGGTAAAAACTACGGCCGACTGCAAGTCTACCAATACAAATGAATTATAGTACGGGCATAAAGCCATTAATTACAAGTACAATGTATATTTGATTTGTATATTTCGTAAGAAGAGTAATGTAAATAAATACATGCGTTGCCAAGGAGGTGAATTGGAGTACAAGTCCACCAATACAAATGAATTATAGTACGGGCATAAAGCCATTAATTACAAGTACAATGTATATTTGATTAGTATATTTCGTAAGAAGAGTAATGTAAATAAATACATGCATTGCCAAGGAGGTGAATTGGAGTGTTTTGGCGTGACACTTGAAGTAAGAGGTTCTGTGTGAGATGTACGAGTAGTTACTAGGCTAGTGGGATATTTGTAAGGTATAACCCAAAAGTACGAAAGGAATGGTGTCCTTCGAACAAGTGTATTACTCCGATAGAGGGTTAGAAATTAATTAGAAAGCTAATTATTCAGTGAATTCAAGTGATCGGAATTCCTAGCTCGAAGCCTCTTTCGATCAGTAAGATTAAAATAATTAATCTTACAGCTTGCTCTTGATTGAACCCTGCGGGTCACACCCGATCGTGTAACCGAACTAAGGTGATGAATTAATCCGAAGGGTTTAATACGTCAATAAAGATATTACTCACTCAGACGTCGGATTCCGAGCTTAAAGCGTCGAAGCTGAGCATCCGACGTCAAGTTGATTCTAGGAACCGATAAGACGAGGAAATAAGTCAAACAACATATAATGAGTCAACACTTAGTCGTAGCCTCGTAGTGGCCTAGAAAATAGTTAGCCATGTGAGGGTTAGGCTAGGAGGGCTGCTAGCCAATGCGCTAGCTAGGCCGCAAGCCTAGTAGCCGTATGCGCGTGCTGGCAAGGGCTTGCTGGCTGAGCTCGCATGCTAGCAGCGCTAGCATGGCCAGCCGTATGCTAGCGTGCTGGGCCTCGCTAGCTGCTGCTAGCGCTAGCAAGCTCGCACCACTCACCCAGCAAGTGCAACAACATCGTTACACAGCAGCCCGTATTGCTTGCGAGGCCTGCTTGTGCAGTAGCGCCATGGGCCGCTGGCATGCCCAGCCGAGGGACCAGGCCGCCAGCGAGGCAGCCTTGGTGCCCAAGACAGGCCACGCCAGCTGGCGCGCCATGGTTGGACCCGGTTAGTGGGTCGGGGACTTAGGGTTTGCTTGGGGAATAAGGGGAGCTTATAGTCCTCACCTACCCTTGCTCTTGTGTTGACACATGTTGTTTGATTATTGCTTTTGGTATTTAATTTATTTTTGAATTAAATTAATTGCAAGTTTTTCTCACTTTATTCCAAGTCCCTCATGGAAAGAATAATGTGGGAAAGGAGATGCCATGCCTATAAATACCAATTTTGGGAGTTGGGAAAATCACTTGAGTTGAATAAAAAAAGGCATCTCTGATATAAACCGTCAGAATCCCTTAGAGCTCGTAAAACTCATAATTTTGGTTTGCAGTTTCATTTAGCTACGAGACCCAACCTAGTTCGGGTATGAGGGTGTGTGTAGGGAATTTTTCCTCGCCCTATATGTGGGTCATTAAGCATGCCGGCACTCCGAGGAAAAGAAGCTAGAAAAAGAGAGTTGCCAACAAATTTTAGGAACTTGTTAACCGTTCACGATTGTGAAGGTTACACCCCATTCACAATCACAATGCTAACTCCATAGTGGTCTAGAACAATGACTGGGTGTTTGGGGATGATGGTACAAATTCAACCTTCAAAGAAATCAAACCTGTCCTAAATAGCCCTCTACTTGATTCTTATTGATATTCATGTGCGCTTTTGATTTAACATACATACATCAAATTAATCTTGAAACTGTTTAATCTATGTTGGTTGATTATTAATAATGCACAATTAAATCCAACATTAGTGATCGCTTGAATTGAAAACATTTAAACCTAAATTCAATTATTAATTATCTTATTAAGCATGATTTCAATTACAAATTCCTTTTAAACCTGCAAAAAGGGGCGTGATCCAACAATAAATCATTGATAATTAAGAAACATATAATTATCATAATCATCATCATGAAAATATCGTTAGTAGTAAGATCCTAGACATGATACTAAACAGATTAATAACAATCCTAGCATGATACTAATAACAAAATCAAAGCGTTATACTAAACATGATTTTTATTAAAGAAAGTAATTAAATTACTTACTTCGATGTCTCGACCTTCTTGCTATTAAAACAATACACACGTTAGTAAACTTTAAGAAAGTAAACAATAAAGTAAATAATAAACTAAAATAATTAGAAATACAGATTTGGGTCCAAACCCTCATGAAAAATCAATCTTTCACGTCGAGGTCGAAGACAACGTTGGGTATGGTTTGGAGTATTCGAATCACGCAAAGGAAGTATGTTGGATGATTGTGATGTATCTAGGATGTATTTAGGCTAAGAATATGGGTTTAGGTTATTGATGATTGTTGTTGATTGTTGATTTTCTTAATCGAGGAAAACGACCTCTATTTATAAGGAAAAAAGAGAGTTGAACGATTCCCTACACACACCCTCGTCGTTTTGCGATAGTGGTCTGTCTTGTTGCGATGAATCCATCGCTATGCGATGGTTCATAGGATAGAAGATGTTTGTACGAAGTTTGTTTCTAGCGGTTTATCTTTGTAAAATATATCCGTATGGATTTGATTTAGGTTATTTTCAAAGTTCATCGCATGAAGAGTTCTATTCAATCTCAAACTCTTGATCTTTATCTTTCGGGAGGGATAAATTAGAACCTTCTAGAAGATTTTTGTTGTCTTGCGGTTAGGAGTATGATCATATGGGCCTAAATAAAATATTTGGGCTCCATATAAGCATTGGGTCGTACTAAAGGTGGGCTTAGGCTCGGTTCGGGTTCGGTTTAGTATTTTGGCCATATTTCATTCGTTTAAAGTCGGATTTGGGTTTATAATATATCTTGGAAAGCTCTTTTTGAGCCCCATCCATCTTAACAATAATTGGACTGAGAAAATAGTCCAAAATAATCAGGTTGGACGTTTTTATGGCTATAGGCACAAAATGAATGCTTTTTGGGCTAAAGGATATGAAATGAATGTTTTTGGGTTTAAGGCAACAAAATGAATGTTTTTGGGTTTCAGGACACGAAATGAATCTTTTTTGGGTTTAAAGACATTTTTGGTAAGGTTAGAAAAATGGTCTAGGCTTAAGGAAACTTTGTGCGACCTTTCAACTCTTTGCCGAACTCGTCGATTCAAACGTGAAATACACTCATCATTGGGTTCAGTGTTTGGGGAGACACAATCAGGTGTCTACAGAAGCGCTCACTTTGATTGAGTTTGGAGAAAAGTAAGTTTTGAAAACGATACAAAGTAAATCGATAGGGACGGAGAATGATCTAGAATGTTCTGCGTTCCTAAATCATTCTTTTAACGTCGATACCTGCAGAAAACGTCAGTTATACAAATAAAGGAGTTATAGGGGAATAAATGCGTATTTGACATTGTCGGGTACACATCTCTAGGTGACATCTTGTCAGCTCGAACTCAACTTGACGACCTCCTCATTCTCAGGTTGCGTCGTTGACTCCTTGTCTTGAATTCAAATGAAAGCCTCCTTATTATCTGGGAGCGTCATCAGTGACAACCTCCTCATTCTCAGAGAAAGACTACTCTGTCTTTAATCGTCTTCTCAAACTAGGTGACAACCTCCTCATCCTTAGGGAGCGTTGTCGAAAACTACTTTGCCTTGAATTGTCTTCTCTAATCTTCATGCTTTAGAAGTGATAGTGCCTATCGTAAAATCTTACTCCTCAAGATCTTACCAAGCTCGAAAATTGAAATCTTCTTTAATGGTTATATCTCGCCTTGAAAGTGCTATCAAACCATTTTTAAAATCATGATTGTAATCGGGTCGATCACCAATCAATGTGATTGTAATCGGGCTGATCACCAATCAATGTGATTGTAATCAGACCGATCACTAATCAATGTGATCGCAATCGGGCCCATCACTAATCAATGTGATCGCAATCGAGCCGATCATTAATCAATATGATCGTAATCGGGTCGACTACTAATCAATGCTATCGTAAACGAGATTTCTTGATAAATTGCTCATCACGAGGCTCATGGAAGAATAAATTTCTCATCACGAGGCTCAAGTAAACTTGTCAATGCCACGTAACAATCTATCATAGGAAATATTAATACGATCGACAATCCACATCATAGGAACGTAATTGTTGAAAGACAATCCACTTCGGAAAATTTTCCAATGCTATACGACAATCCATTTAGGAAAATATTGCCACAATCGACAATCCGCGTTTTGGAACGTTTGTCGGTGAGCTAAACGACAAACCGCTTCGGGAAAATTCGTCACCACTGAAATGAATGACAATCCACGTCAGGGAACCTTGCCGAAATATTAAATTGAATAATGACCCATGACAATCCTCTTTGGGAAACTTTACCATGGTGAACTCGGTGAATGACAATCCAATCTCAGAAAAAATTGCCAAGGGATCTGATAAATGTATGACAATCCAATCTCGGAAACATTGCCAAAAGAGAGACTTGTGACAATCCATTTTGGAAAAATTTCGAGATGAAGAGGATACATGACAACCCAATCTTGGAAAAATTGCAAGATGAAGAAGATACGTGACTATCCACTCTTGGAAATATTGCCAGAGGAGATTATACATGACAATCCAATCATGGAAAAATTTC